AACCTCGGCCTAGCCGAGATGATCTCAGTGTCATGGCCAGGACACGTGGCATCTCGACTGGCACTTCGGTGACACCTCGACCACGTGTTGTCATTCAAAAATTATGCCCCACAATTGCCCCCTAGGTTCTATTACCTCAGCATCCTGAGGTGATGGAACCTATATCATTCATTTTTTTAATCATGATCCCGGTTTAACTTCAGCTTGTAAATTTTTCTTAAAATTTCAACAAGTGTTTAACATATCCTCAGTTTAACTTCAACTTGTAAATTTTTAAAATTTCAACAAGTGTTAAACATGTCATCGGTTTAACTTCAACTTATAAATTTTTCTTAAAATTTCAACAAATGTTAAACATGACCTCGGTTTAATTTCAACTTGTAAATTTTTCTCAAAATTTCAACAAGTGTTAAACATATCATCGGTTTAACTTCAACTTGTAAATTTTTCTTAAAAATTTTAACAAGTGTTAAACCGATCTTGGCTTGAAAATTCAAACTCCCAAGCATCATTCTCCAGCTCTCTGCATGGCTTCCACCTAGTCCTTTGTAGATCTTATATAAAAAGTCTTTAACTTAGGCTGAGCTTTTCTTTTTTCGGACTTAATCATCTAGGCCGAGATCTTGTTTTCTAGGATTCTCCATGCCTGACCTCCCGCGAAGGCCGGTGAGAATGTCCTTTGGTCCCGCCATGTTTAGGGACTGCAGGAACCATTTTTTGCCTCCCTTTCTGGGCACCTTTCTTGGCCGCTAGAATCGGCGTATCTTGTAACGGTAATGGTGGCTGCATGACGTTGTTTTGCATCAGGAAATTGACGACCGTTTGCAGGTCCGCCAATTTGTTCGCCATTCCCTTCACCTCGTCGTCCTTCCGCAGGAATCTTTTTTTCCACACCTGGAGGTCGTCTTCGTTATAGTACCCACATCGGTCTGATTTTTTTGGCACGTCGCCCTCCTGGCCGACGTCTTTTTCTCCGTGATTCTTATCACGAGTCTTTTCGTTACAGTTGTCTTCTTCGACGTCAAGGTCTACATGTTTCCCATTTCCAGTAGAGATGTCGTTCCCAACCTTCTCTTTCTGTCCGTTGCTGGCTATCTATTCTCCTTTCTTTCCCACAGACGGCGCCAAATTGTGTGTGTCAATTTCCGACCACAGTGCCAAACCAGCACTCAGATGTAGAACACCGGCATAATAGATTAAGCCCGAACAACCTGTCAAAGAAAGATAAGAATCCCGCAGTGGTTCGTCCATCCGGGGGACACTCCGACGATCGAGTCAGTAAAATATCTCTCAAAGATAATCAATAGTGCTTAACTCACTAGATAGAGCATAAAAGACATACCTTATACCCATGAGGGTGTCTCTTTTTTATAGCCAATACAAACTTAGTCCCAATAGAAGCCTAGCTTCAATGGACTTAAGATTACTGCTAATTTTGGACTCCCAGTAGGATTAGGATAAACTCTCTAAGAGTCTTATCTTTACCCAAACTGAAGTCCTCTCTAATTCTAGGATTCTTGTCCCTTATTCACTTATCTTGGATTCCGGCATTTTCACCGATAACCACGGCCTAGCCGAGATGATCTCGGTATCATGACCAAGACACGTGGTACCTCGACCGGCACTTCGGTGACACCTCGACCACGTGTTGTCATTCAAAAATTATGCCCCAACAATACCCAAAACAACTTTAATTACTTTGGCTTGTAGCAATTTTTTCATTTTTTTTTTTTGAATTCTTAAAAAGTTTTTTTTTTTTTTTTTACTTCTAATTTTTATTTTGGTAAGTAAGATATTTGGAGTCAACTTATACGTATCAAATTAGGTTCATATTGTTCGAATAAACTTTTTGAAATAGAGTTTTATAACTTGCGATCTGTGACTTCAAGAGTTTTTATTAATAAAGAGAGTTAAGCACGAGACTTTAGATGGAGAAAATCCCAAGTTTCAATCGCCAAATCCTTGGGGTTATTATTAAAAAAGTTAAATTGCGAAATGGGCACTTAGGAGTTGTTTAGGGTGTCTTAAATAAGTGAATTTTTTTTCTTTTTGAACTAAAAAATTGAGAAAAAAAATATGAATATTTGGGTTAATTTTTTAATTTTTGTTGAAAAATTGTGTATTATAAATTTGTATAAATAAGTGTATAAGAGAAGTTAGTGATGGAATAGGACGTACAAACGGAAGTGTAAGAGGTAGCGTGGTAGAGGGTAGGGGTAGGAGATTGATGCTCTCCTTTTCGGGCATATATTGGACTATGCTGTTCGGCCCATGGGGACCCACTATGGGTCCCGTTTTGCTAATCGGAACCGTTCAATGTGTAGAAATCGTCGAGTGCTATACACTTGTAAAAAATCACGCTGATTGGATATCAATAGCTATCTGATCGTGTTAGTTTTACTTATCAACTGTTAGCTATAACACCATCTATTTTTTATACAAAATTGATTTGATCATGTAGTTACTGATTTCCGATCAACATGATTTTTTACAAGCATATAGTTCTGAACGAGTTTTACATATTAACGGTTCGGATTATCAAAATGGGACCCGTGGTGGGTCTCCACGGGGCCAACATTTCCGTCAAACTTAGTGATTTTATATATGTAATTTTTTTTTTTTCCTCGCACGGTACTAAAGGGTAAATTCAGCCCAGAAAATTGTGTAAATTTTGTTTGATTAAAAAAATATGTATATTAATTTTTAATATTTTTAATTATGAATAGTGATAACTTTTTGACCTTTTTTTTTATAACTTTTTGACTTTTGACTTTTTTGAAACATCCCAAACCTGGCCTTAGTAAGTGTTTGGCATTTACTAAAAAATATATATATATATATTTGTGCATACATTTATTTATTTAAATCACATCAATTAACATCTATCAACATTTATCAAGATCTCCTCTTTACTTTTTTATCAACTTTCTCTACTTTTCTACATATTTTTTTATAAAAAATTAAAAAATACACTTACTTAAAAAATTCCAAATCACCTTTGTTGTATTCTCTCCATGAGGTGTTTTGGGTATATATTTTTAATTTTTTTAACCAAAAAAGTCATAAAAAAAAAGCCACAAAAAGTTAGGGTGTGTTTGGTTTGATTTTGAGAGAGTGATTTTCAAAAAAAGTTTTAGAGAGAGAGTTTATAATTTTTTTTGGTTTGTTTGGTTGTATATTTTAAAAGTAATTTTAGAGTTTGAGAGTTTGTAATAATTTGATATTTTGTTATAATTGAGTGAATGTGTGTGAGAGAAAAAGTGATTGAGAAGGAGAGAGAAAAAAGAAAAAGTGATTGATTGATGTGTAAGAAAGAAAAAGTGATTTTGAAATTTTTTTAAAAAAAATCTCAAACCAAATAATTTTTTGAATTTTTTTTTAAAAACTCATCTCTCAAAGCTAAACTAAACATATCCTTAATTTTTTTAGTAAAAAAAAAAAAAAAACTAAACTAAAAAAGGCCAAAATAATAAAAAAAATCACCGCTAAGTTTGTAGATGATCGTTATAACAAAAATGCTTTAGACCACTAATTAGTGGTGGCTTTAATGATGTGGCAGTGTGTTTTGTGCCTTGTTTTTTTTTTTTTTTTTTTTTCAATTGCCACCTCACTAGTGATAGTATTAGTGATGGTAAATTAGTGGTCTATAGCATTGCTCTCGTTATAATTACACAAAACAAAAACATAAGATTTATGCTTCATATCGCCACTGGGTCGACCCAGTGAGGTGTCGGCCCCGGATTGGTACAAAAAAAAAAAATTATTTTTTTTTTTTTTTAAATTTTCAACCAGCTTCATGTCTGTGCCAAAGTAAATCAAGTCAAAACAACTAAGAATTTTGTACCTTATTTCTTCACATAATTAAAGAGATGGTTTACTTGGGCTTCTTTGGAATCCACTTTGACAAAAGTAGCCATCGATCTTGTTGTTCCATCCGTGAGGGGCTTGCTTCAAGCCGTATAATGCCTTTCAAAGTCAACCAACTTTTTCTTCTTTCCCTTTTGTGGCATATCCTTGAGGCTACTCGACATACACTTCTTGTAATTCTCCATTTAGGAACGCAGATTTGACATTGACTTGCTAAACTAAACATATCCTTAATTTTTTTAGTAAAAAAAAAAAAAAACTAAACTAAAAAAAGGCCAAAATAATAAAAAAATCACCGCTAAGTTTGTAGATGATCGTTATAATTACCCAAAACAAAAACATAAGATTTAGAGCATCTCCAACGGTGTACCAAATATTTCACCAAATCTGTGTAAAAAATGGGTCATTTCCTTAATTTGATACTTCGCGCTCCAACGGTTCAACATCAAATCCGTTTCATCAAATTTGCGCTGGGCAACCGGTTGGTTGACCGGCCGGTCGACCGGCCGGTCAACCAACCGGTTGCCCAGCGCAAATTTGATGAAACGGATTTGATGTTGAACCGTTGGAGCGCTTTTTGAACTTTTGGTGGTCGACCGGGTGGTCAACCGGCCGGTCGACCGGGTGGTCGACCACCTAGGCAAAATTATTATTATTATTATTTTTTTGGACTGGTTTGAACCTTTTTGTGAACGGTCTGAACTTTCTCCGGGGCGACCGGTTGGTTAACCGGTTGGTCAACCGGATGGTCGACCTGTTCGTCTCATCCCAACGGTTAGGAACAGTGATTTGTTGAAATGCTTCGCCTGCACTCAGTTTGGTACCATTTTTGCTGAATTCTGGATTTGATATCGATTTGGTGAAACCGTTGGAGCGTGAAAAAGTGGGTTTTTCATCAAAATTTAAATCTGATGCTGGGTTTGGTTCACCGTTGGAAATGGTCTTATGCTTCATACCTCCACTGGGATCGACCACCAGTGAGGCGTCGGCCCCGGATTAATGAAAAAAAAAGAAAATTTTTTTTTCTTTTAAAATTTTCAATCAGTGGAGGCGCCCCACGTGTCACTGGTCACGACCCCCACAGGGGTATGCAGCGCTGTTGAAAACATAAAAACATAACAGATCCAAGTCGATGAAGAAGATTTACACGCTGACCAAAGCGTTCCATGATATCATACATGTATAGAGAGAGAAACTAGAGAGAGAGAGAGAGAGAGAGAGAGCGAGCGAGCAATGCTGAGAACGATTGGGTGAGATTGAAGGGGTTAATCCATAGGGAAGCGATAATTAAGGTATAGAAGTGGCGTGTACATGTTGATGGATGTAAATGGGGAGTGGAACATTCGTGGATGGTGTTCGTCGCTGGTTTCAACGTCGTCCTTCTTCGCCACAACCAAACAACACTCAAAACCTCAATAATAGCCAACCGTTGGTCTCCGGATTTCAAGGAGAGGACCACCTCAACGTTGTTGAAGACTTTGATTTCTCTGGCTTGAAGATCATCAAAGTCCCCAAACGCATCAATTTTCATCCCACCTCTATGGATCCTCAGAAAAAGGTCTCTTTCTCTCTCCCTCTCTAGTATCTGTATTGTGTTTTCTCTGGGAATTTGATTTGATTGAAATTCATTTGCTTTATTGGGTTGTACAGTAATCAAATGTTAAAAAGGCTCTTCTTTTTTTTTAAATTTTTAACTAGTTTTATTGATTCAAATGGTGTATTATTCTTATTCAGGTGCTAATACCATTCGTTGATCTGCTGTTATTTTTTGATAGTCTTCCATTTTTTTTTTTTTAAACATTTTTTCTGTCTCCATCGAGAAAGTTTTTTTTTTTTCCCCTCCTGTCACAGTGAATGGAATACATTTAGTCACATGTTCGTTTTTTTTTTTTTTTTTGAAGAGTAGTCACATGTTTGGTTGATTAAAAGAAATGATCATTCCATAGGGAAGGGATTGCAAAATTACTTGACCAAATTGTACTTGACCTAACCTGATTCTAATAGAAAAGGTTTGGGAGAGCATTGATAGGATAGGGTGAAGTGTGGAGTTGTATCGCTAAATAGTTGAGTTTAAAATCAAGAATTTGTGCATGAAACCCGAAAAAATCTGACCCGTTACCACTCCATTCCATCTCACTTCAGTGAATCAAGTACAGCATTATGCCATCGCTGGGAGCCATTGATTTGCTAATCCAGTTACCTTCCCTTTTTATTTTATTAATTTCATATTGCCCTGCTGTTTCCTTGATATAAGAAATGTATTTGGCTATGATGCACATATACTTCTAGATGAGGGTTGTGTCTGAATTGGATACCAACACTCTTTGGATACTCAAACGTATCTGGTACTTTCCTAAACACATCCATAATATGAATTTAAAATTTATTTGTTTATATTAATTTTGAGAGAGATTAGATGCTTTTCAGTTTCGAATACATGTATCCAAAATATTATGAAATTGAGATTATAATAATTGCATAGTATTAGGAGGGTATAATTATTTGGATAAATACAAGAATAGTTTTTCAAAACTTTGCCAACTTCTTTGGCAAGAAGAAAATAGTGAGATTAAAGTAATATGCTACTTTGTCAGAAGGTAAATTTCACTTCATCCTGTGGTTTGACTCAATTGCAGATGATCCCTTGTTGTTTGAAAATAAACACATAACCTCAGTGGTTTGTAGACTAAAACACACGACTAACATATATTAACAGCCTTATAAAATGACATAAATACCCTCATTTTCTTCCTCTATTCTTAACTAAATTCCTCTCTCTAAATATATATGCATACTGTGACAAGCATATCTATACTCTTATATAAAAAAGCACAACTTTTTGAAGCGTTGCCATAGTTTTTTGTACACCTAAAATACCCCTGATCGAATAACTATTTTGCTCTTTCCTTTTAAACCACTGTAAGTGAGATAGTGGGTGAAAAAATAGGTGTATAGATAATTTTTCAGATCCTAACTGCTCCAAACTCAAGTAACTGCCATGATTGTTTTTTTCTAACGTGTCATTTTTACTCAGACCACTCTGGATACAGAATTCTTCACAGAGTATGGGGAGGCGAGCAGGTACCAAGTTCAGGAAGTTGTTGGCAAAGGGAGTTATGGAATTGTTGGTTCCGCCACTGATACCCACACTGGGGAGAGGGTTGCAATCAAGAAGATCAATGATGTCTTTGATCATGTCTCTGATGCCACAAGGATCCTCAGAGAAATCAAGCTCCTTCGACTGCTCCGTCATCCGGATATTGTAGAAATAAAGCATATCATGCTTCCTCCTTCTCGAAGAGAATTTAAAGACATATATGTTGTATTTGAGTTGATGGAATCTGATCTTCATCAAGTGATTAAGGCGAATGATGATCTTACTCCTGAACATTATCAGTTTTTCTTGTATCAGCTTCTTCGTGGCCTAAAATTTATACATACTGGTATGTACTATTCAGGGATATCATAGTCATTGTAGTATTTTCCTTGCATTTCTATGTCTTCATTGATCATTAATCTACACCTTGTTTGTTTCAGCAAATGTGTTTCATCGAGATTTAAAACCAAAAAATATACTTGCTAATGCGGATTGCAAGTTGAAGATTTGCGATTTTGGGCTTGCTCGTGTATCCTTTAATGAAGCTCCATCAGCTATTTTCTGGACTGTACGTTTTAAAACCTATGGCTCATTTAATTTCATTCTTTTATTGTCTAACTCTTGATTATGTAGACTTCTCATCTAACCTTGTGTAATTAAATTTTGTTTTTTAAAATATTTCAAAGGACTATGTTGCTACTCGATGGTATCGTGCTCCTGAACTCTGTGGTTCTTTTTTCTCCAAAGTAAGTAGGCTGTATCATTGATACCTTAGCAATTTTTTGCTGGTTTTACATCCTTCAATTTCCAAGTCTTATAATATGGCCCAAACGTTTAATAGAATTGCTATTAATGTTTTTGAGCTCTGAACTGCACATCATAATTGTGATGTTGGATAGTTCTTTTATGCAGCTGTTTGTTTAATATCTCCCCTATTTGTGTTGTTCTTTTACTTTTATTCTGGTTGTGTCACTGTCACATCTGATTGGTTTATGAGTCCTGCTTTATTGAGATTTATCCTCATTACAGAACACTAGTGTGTGTGTGTGTTTTTTTTTTCCTTTGTATTAATATGTACGTTTATTTTTCATTTTCATAATGTTGATGGTAATTCTTTTGCTTCTGAGCTCAAGTGTCTTTGTGAGTTAAGAGTGTGTGCAAAATACATTTTTAATTTAATGGATTTCTGTTTATCTCTTATTTTGTTAAACTATAAATCCATGTCACTAAGATATTTGTGTTCTCGCAGTATACGCCTGCAATTGATGTATGGAGCATTGGATGCATTTTTGCAGAAATGCTTACAGGAAAACCATTGTTTCCTGGGAAAAATGTGGTGCACCAGTTAGATCTCATGACTGATTTCCTTGGAACTCCTGCTCCAGAATCCATTGCTAGGGTTAGTTGTATAATTTCAGTATTTTGCTTCTAAGATGCCTTCAGGAACTGGAAATGATTTTATTGTTGTGCTCTTAGCGACATGATATAATGAAAAGCTTTAGGTAGCGTTTGGTAGAGTTTTAGAATTATGATTTGAGAATAGAGTTGTATTTTGAGTTTGTGAGTTTTGGAATTATGATTTGAGTGTGAAAACTTGTTTGGTTATGAGTTTTGAAAAAAGCTTTGAATTGAGTTTGAAATTTTTGATATGACATATGATATTTAATTCAAAAATTACAACTCATAACTAAACACACAACTCAAAATTCTATTCAAAGCTCATAAAAAATTTAAAAAAATTCCGAATATATGTTTTATTTTAAATATAAAAGTAACAGGTGCAAAAAAAATAAAAATAAAAATAAAAATAAACACTGTCCCGGTCAACTGGCTGGACGGCCGGCCAGACGTCCAGGGGGACGTCCGGGAGGATGACCGGGTAGACATGTTTTCAACAGTGGGTGTGGAATCAATTTTTGAAAACTCTAACCAAACACCACACTCAAACCAAGGGGTGAAATTAAAGTTAGAAAGCTCTACCAAACAGAGCCTTAGTTTTATCTACTTTTCACCTTGTAAATGATTGTTGATTCCTTGGCAATGGCAGATTAGGAATGAAAAAGCAAGAAGATATCTAAGTAGCATGCGTAAAAAATCCCCAGTTCCATTTTCACAGAAGTTCCCCAATGCAGATCCATTAGCTCTTCGCCTTCTGGAACGCTTGATAGCATTTGATCCTAAAGATCGACCATCTGCTGAAGACGTGATATTTCTCAACTCAAATATTTTTCCACTTAAAACTATTGCTAATTAATACTATTGATATAAAGGGAATCTCTGTATTCTGTCTAATATATTCAATGGTCTTTTTTTTTCTTTTTTTCTTTTTTTCAGGCATTAACGGATCCTTACTTTACTGGTTTGGCAAATGCGGACCGTGAACCAGCATCTGCTCAACCCATATCAAAACTAGAGTTTGAATTTGAAAGGAGAAAACTAACAAAAGATGATGTTAGAGAGTTGATTTATCGAGAGGTATGCCTTACAACTTGATACCTGTTGCTTTGGTAAAAGGAGGCATCTGTTCAATCAATCATTAGACTTATATTGGATCTTGTCTGGAGTGAACAGATTTTAGAATATCATCCCCAGATGCTCCAGGAGTATCTTCGTGGTGGAGATCAGACTAGCTTCATGTACCCAAGGTCAGGCACTCATTTATGTTCTTTGTACAAACTTGTTAGTATCTGTATAGAAAGTGAACTACTGTAAGTTATTTATTGTTTCAATGTTTGGTACAATTTAGTTAATGCTGCATTTATTTTTTTTGGGTACCATATTTTAGTTTGCCACTGATATTTACTGGCGTTTTGAGAAATGAAAACTATACAAATCATTAGTTATTGAATCTTGTTTCAATAGAGTGAAGATATTTGCTCGTTATTTGTGTATTTGTTATATCCAATTGCTTTTTCTGTCTTTTACACTTTTACTGGCCCCTCGACTTTCTTAGAGAAATAGTGTTGCAGCAAGCTCATGTCGTAATGTTTCTCATGTAAGGGCTCCAACGCTTCTAAGCTTTGATCCCAAGTCTGATGATTGAGGACCCTCCCTTCTTTCTCTGTTATGGTTTGTCGTTGTGATTGGTGGGGATACTGATAGTAATCTTAATTAAATAAACAGTGCCAAAGAAATGTTGTTAACCATTGTTGAGTTTTGTCTCATCGTTTTTGCTTGCTTAAAGGCTAAAGTCATACTCATACTATGATAATTGAATGCTAAACCAATTAGCTTCATTTCGTATGTGGTACTTTTTATGTTTTTTCCGCTTTTGAATAAAAAAGCTTTATGAAGGAGAGACTGGAAAACGCCTGAAAAGTGAACTCTCAATTGAACCCATTTTAAAAATGACTAAGAATCCTGACCACCAAACGATTGACCAAAAATCATAGAAAATGAAATCCCTTATGAATGCATGCTATACACTTTCGTTTAATCTGTGTAATAGAGTATTGGAAACAAAAGCTTTTTCCCTTTGTGTGAGCCTTCAAGATTTTTCAATATTTGAAAGCTAAATAAAATCAATAAAAATATTCAAAGGATTTCCATTAAGTATTCAATGAATTTTGCTAATATATAATTCAGTATGCATGTTATTTATATAATTATTTTTAAAATTTTTAAGTGGGTCACCTTTTTTTTGTTTTTTTTAAAAACTAAAGCACTTATGTTCTAAAATTTGCTGAGTTTCTCACCCGCCTTAAAATTGTTTTATGTCATTTTAGTGGTATTGATCGATTTAAGCGACAGTTTGCCCATCTTGAGGAGCATTATGGTAAAGGTGAAAAGAGTACTCCACTTCAAAGGCAGCATGCTTCATTGCCTAGGTAAGGTGTTGAACATAAAAATGCACATTTTTGTACAAGTATTATTGATTGCACATAACGTTAACAATCTCAATTAATTAATTAGTTTTTCCCATTTATTTTCCTAACAATCCAAAAGATTTCTTTGTGTTTGCTGAACCTGATTTGTGCAATTCTGATCGCTATCATAGTAAGCTAGTCTGCATATTTGGTTTATCTTGTGAGCTTCTAGTTCCACTAGTTTGATGGTATCTTTATATCTATCACCTTCTCTTTTCTTTCAGAGAACGGGTTTGTGGGCAGAAGGATGAAACGATTTCCCAAAATGATGATCTTGAGAAGCGAACTGCGGCATCTGTTGCTACAACTATTCAGAGTTCTCCCAAAGAATCCGAGGAATCAGAAAATGCAAATACAAATGCACAAAGTGGACTAAACAAGCCGAACTACAGTGCTCGTACCCTATTAAAGAGTGCTAGTATTAGTGGTTCCAAGTGTGTAGTTGTCCAAGCAAAAAAAGATTCAAAGGTATTCTTCAGATGTTTGCAGTTTTTTGTTCATTTTGTGAAGCATCATCATTCATTGAAGTTGATGTTTGCATATTAATTAATAAAATCACTTTTCACTGGTTGGAATGTTTGATTTGAAATAATAGTATGATGTGTAGAAATGGACCACCTTGTGTGTGATGCCAAGTAACAATTACATGAGGCAAGGATGTCTTTTTAAAATCAAGTCAACTTATTATGGTTTGGTTTACATTCTAAATAAGTCCATTTTGTGTGTTATGAAACTGAAAGTTTATACCTTATTAGGGCCTTGGAAAATGGCTTATTTTTTCTTTATGATTGCATTCTGCTAATTTTGTTCCCTAATGTTTCTTAAAAGGATTGTTTTTATGCCCTTCCAATTGCTATAGGGAGCCAAACAGAAGCATCATTTTGATGAACATCTACATACCCATTATTTATCCATATAACAACACCAAACCCCTCCCGAACCTAAAAATAGAATGGAACAGAAATCGCTCAATTGGAGTTGTATAGAACAGGAACTTTTTGGGCAAAATGAGAAGAATGCAGCTCCTTTTTGCTTGATGGTGAAAGAAGGATAGGCTTTTTCTGAAGCCAGAGAGGATTCTTTGGTTGCATTGAAGAGTGGATTTTATTTTTTTTTGGGGGTAAAAGCAAGGGCAGACCTTTTTTTTAGAGAGCATTTTATTTTGTGCTTGCATTAGAGCTGTTGAATAAGCTTGGTGTAGGTGGTGGCACCCCCTTGTTACTTTATTGTGTATAAAATTTTATTTACTTGCCAAAAGAAAGGGAAAATTGACAACACAATAACTAAAAAGGAAAAACAAAAATATGGGACTAGTTGTCATTTTTCCGTGCACTTTTTCATTTGTTCTTAGCACTTTTTGATGTTATCCTCTACATTTATTTGTTAAATTGTTTGTTTTTTTCGATTGTTTATCCATCTATTTGTCCATTGCAGGAAGAACCAATTGCTGAGCATGAGGAGGTTGATGAGTTGACACAAAAGTTAGCAGCCATCAATTCGTGATTTTATACTTTGCTCTAATATCTCAAATTGCTTCAGATATGGCTTCATTTGGTGCCCTGCTCCAATTTTCCCACATTACCAGAGTTTTAATGAGGACCTACATCAAATTTCTTCTCTTTGTTTTTCAGGTAGAAAAAAGCTAACAACATAGGACTCTTGTTATTGTTCCCATTTGTTTGTTTAATTGCAATACTAGGAAGAACAGATACTTCCCACTTATCTATCTCCATATGTGGCTCGGAGATGTAGGAATTATTGTAATTTTGTTTCATGACAATGAAATTGATGAACAAATTGATATGACAAAAACAGAATGATGATTGTATACATGATTGAGGTAAGATTTGTTAGAATTCTTGTTTGGCACCCATTTTCATGGTTTCATGTTATCTTGCTAATGTAGGGTATATGTGTTCTTAATGAAAGAGTTGTTTTAATTATTTTACACTTATTTATATTTATTTATTTACGTTTATCCGGGGAGAGGGAAGGGGTGCCTGGGGATTGATCGGGGTCAATGGTACAAAAACATAATTCATGATATTCAACAGGTACCTTGACAAAGCAATGAATGCTTTCGTTTTTTTGTATCACTTGTCTATTGGTATTTTTGGTAATATTTTTTGAGCTACATGGATAATATTTTTCCCAAGAACATCTCTGACAATAACTAGCCATTTCGCTAGCCATATTGTCTATTCTCGCCTAGCCATTATTGTGCTAAGAGATCCATGGATGGATCAACGGTGTTCAATCAAGCTCGGCTTGTTAATAGCGCGGGGTTGGGATCCTTTGTTCAAGTGTTTTTTTTTTTAAAATCTCAACTCCCTATTCTAGTGCGAGGAAATTTGGGACAAAGAGTTCTGTATCATGTAAATAGTACGTGGGACAATAGACAGAAAATTGAGACAAAAGATACCAATTTATTCCATCGATCTAATGTGCTTCTGAATACATTCAATTTATTTAGAATTTTAATTTAATTTATTATTATTAATTTTTTTTGTATACACCCACTCAATCAACCTTGGTTCGCCAAACAAAACAAAGTTGTTTAACCTTAGTTCGCAGAACATCAGTAGATTGTTAAGTCACTTTTTTGTCGAAACATATCAAATATATTTATCCGCTTTTGTGATTGTCTCAACAGATTTCGAATTAAAATAGAAAACTTATTAAATTTATTATGTTAAAAGATACATATATATATATATATATATAGAAATAATTTAAATGTCCAATTTTTAGATTCATTTTATAGACCTAATAATATGTAAGTGATATGATTAGTTGATGATTAGAGATATATGACAGAAAGTATTACATTTAATATCCTAATTGATTGTCACATCCCTAGACTTAAAAATTGGGTCTCATTTTTTAGAATAATGCTACCTCCACTAATTGATATACTATTACAGCATGTTTGATTGAATGGATTAAAGTATGAGATTGAGATTATTAATTTGTAGACCCAATTATCCTATGCTTGATTTAACATTTTGGTTTATGATTATTAATCCAATTGATAATTAATGCATTTGGATAGTGACTACAACACTAAGGGTGTGTTTGTTTGGACGGACTGGATAAAGAGGGATTGTAATCCATCGAACTATTAGTCCTGTGATACAATTTTGGTTGGACTGGATTTGTATCCTATATTTGTTTAGTCATGGGATTAGATGTTTGGATTGGACTATTTTTAGTGAATCCAATGTTTGTTTGAGATATTATGGAAAATGATAAATGCTCAAATGACTATTTTATCCTTTTCAATTATTTACTAAGTAATAGTAATATTAAACATAACTTTAATATTTTAATTATTTTTAGCTAGATTAAATAAAAATTTATTTTATTTTATTTTTTGCACAATTAAATAAATTTATTTTAAAAAAATTAAATATAAATAAAAATATATGTTATTTTTTAATTAAATTTTTTAATAAATTTATTTTAAATAATAATAATAATTAAATAATGAAATAAAATAAAACATCTATTAAAATTTAAATAATGAAATTAAATAAAATATAAACAAAATTTTAAAATAAAACATCAATAAAATATCTATAAAAAATATTTTAAAAAATTAAATAAATAAAACAAAAACAAAAATAAAAATTAAATAAAATTATTTTATTTTTAAATTGAGATATTTAAATTTTTTTGAATTTTACTAAATATAATACATAATTAAATACTAGAGGGCAAAAATGTAATTTTATTGTCTAATCCTATGGGATAAGTTATCCCATGGGATAAGATAGTCCCATATTTGTGGGACTAATAGTCTGGAGAAAAATTTTTCAAACAAACAATGGACTATTAGTCCGATGGGACTTATATTCCAATCCCACACCCTAGTCCTTCAAAACAAAAACACTATAATTTGATAGGATTATTAATACCTCACTATTAGTCTTGTGAATCAAACATGACCTTAGAGTACTAACCTATGATGTGACATAATTTTGGAAGTTTTGAATATTTGTACTTTGTATAATGAATGGGCGCTCATACTTTTGAAGTAACAATATCATAGCATATGTTGGTACAGTAATTAGTATATTAATTGGTAGCACCATCGTATTTTTTTTTTAATCTTGAATAGCAATGCATATATATATATATATATATATACTAGCAGTTGGCACACGCAATGCATGTGCAACTTAAATAAGTAAAAATAAAATAGAATATTTATCATATATATTGTGTCTGATTCAAGTGTAAGAGTACTATTTATCCACAATTCGATTCTCATGCCCATTACTTGTCTAATGATTTTTTTTTTAATGGCAAAATGAACACTTGGCATTAAAGTAGAGGATGGTTTCATGACACTAACTAAGATGTTTCCTTTATTAATAGCTAGTAGCCGGGCACAAGCGATGCGTGTACAAACTCGTTTGGAATTATAACGTGAAATTTACATTAAATTTTCTAATAATGCACATATAAATCACATGTATAACTATGTGTAATGTAACATTTGATATTAAGATATTTGATAAATAAAATATATGTATGTTAAAATTTGTTCAATTTTTTTTTTAAAAAAAATTAATATTTACTAATCTTAACTACAAAAAACCTTACAACAAAAATTCATATAAAATCTTAATTTGGTAAGATAAGACTGAAGATCTTACAAATCTTGCAAAAAAATATATAAGATACATATAAAAATTAATTTACAAACAATGTACATTGATTAAATTAGAATTTTACGTTGTTAAAATGAGCCACAATTGTACACATGCGTACTTTGACTAATAGAGTACAATAATAATTTTGGATTTCTAATTGGCTTATTATATATAAAGGCACAAAATGTAAATATTATTAAAGTTTTTTATAAATGAAACTAAAAAATTTAAAAATTATATTTTGACATAGATTAACATAGTCCAAATCAAATGGAAAAAAAAATCCCAAACTTTTTAAGTTTAAGTCTAAACAATTACACACATTTTATGCTTCACAGTTTTTTAAATATATATATAAAAAAATGAATATAAACTTACAATATAAGTTTTTTTCCTTTTTTTTTTTTTCCCATAAGGAACTTGATATAACATAATGGATCTTTTTATTTTCTATGAAAAGTATAATTAATAGTAATACACCAAAAAATATAAAAATACAAATTCAAGACTCGCAAAACACTTACAATTATGTAAAATTTAGGAATACTGAAGAACACTAAATTTTTTAAACACACCCACAAAATTTAAAACACAATTATAAAAGTTATTTGTTCCGACCATCATCACAAACTCCTTAAGTTAACATAAAAAAAAAAAAAATAATAAATTTGATTTTTTTAAGCTTAGAAAAAGAAATTACATATTTGTTTAAGCCCAAATAGAATTATTTTACAATTATTCAAGTTTCAAGCCTTACAAACCCAACACTCATATAGAATATTTACAGTCAAACAAATAGGTGTCGATAGAAAATCAACCGAGAAATTGTTTATTCTGAACAACACAAAGTCAAAAAGTAACCTGCAAAAAATACAAACGAAGGAAAGCCAATTTTTTCTCCAAGAAATTTAAGAACATAGTTTTTTTTTTTCTTTTACTTTTTAATGAAGAAAATAAAAAATGTAATTAATAATGGTACACACAAAATGCCAAAACACAAACCCATACTCTTGGAACACTCACAGAGATTTGATATACACAAAAAAAAATAATTAACTATTAATATAAATAATAAAAAACCCCAAAACTTTTTTTTTTAAAAAAAAATTAAGACTATTATTTTTTTAAATAAAACAAATTTTATGAATATTGAATTGTTTTTAAAAAAAACACACAAAATTGCACAAATAAACAAACCAATTTTTTGAAAGCATAAATTATAAACGCACAAACACAAATGTTGATATAAACCAAGAAAAATAATAATTGATTTTTTTTAACCTAATAACACAATGAAACATTTTATTTTGTTACTTTTTTTATAGAAAGTATAACTAACAGTATTACACCAAAAAAAAAAAATATAAAAATAAAAATTGAAGACAATCATTTTATATGATTTTCTTAAGAGCACTGGGTTTTATTTTAAATAACATACACACAAAATTAAGTGAACAAACAAATCCAATTTTAAAAACTGAATTTATATACAAAAAAAAAAAACCATACTCTTGGAACACTCACAGAGATTTGATATACACAAAAAAAAATAATTAACTATTAATATAAATAATAAAAAACCCCAAAACTTTAAAAAAAAAAAAAATTAAGACTGTTACTTTTTTAAATAAAACAAAATTTATGAATATTGAATTCTTTTTGAAAAACACACACAAAATTACACAAATAAACAAACCAATTTTTTGAAAGCATAAATTATATTTGCACAAACACAAATGTTGATGTAAACCAAGAAAAATAATAATTGATTTTTTTTAACCTAATAACACAATGAAACATTTTATTTTGTTACTTTTTTTTTTTATAGAAAGTATAACTAACAGTATTACACCAAAAAAAAAAAAAAAAAACTAAAGACACTCATTTTATATGATTTTTTTTAAGAGCACTGGATTTTATTTTAAATAACATACACACAGAATTAAGTGAACAAACAAATCAAATTTTAAAAATTGAATTTATACACCAAAAAAAAAAAGACCCAAAAAACAAAACAAAAAAACAAAAACAAAAGCTTTAAAAAGATAACCGTGAAAAAAAAAACTCCAAACTTTTTAAGTGTAATCTACGTCTAAATAATTGCACACATTTTATACTTCACAAATTTTTATATATATATAAAAAATTTGAATATAAACTTGTACTATATGTTTTTTTTCCCCAAAGGAACCTGGTAACATAATGGATCTTTTTTATTTTCTATGAAAAGTATAATTAACAGTAATACACAAAAAAATAAAAAAATACAAATTGAAAACTCTCAGAACACTTACAGTTATATAGAATTTAAGAACACTGAAGAACACTAAATTTTTTAAACACATCCAGAAAATTTTAAATGCTTAATTTTTTATTTTTTTTTAACAAATAAATGACACCAATGATTCTTAAAACACTTACAGATAAAGAGATTTAATATACACTTAACAGTTTAAAAAAATTAAAACAAAGAAGTTGAACACTATTAAAATAACAAACAAATAAATCAAACCCAAACAATTGCATCAAAACACAAATGATGTATATAACATTATATATAAAATTGTTGTATACTTGAATCCAAAATAAACAAAACTGTGAATTTTCAATTTAGAGATGTGAAGGGGCTAAAAAGAGAAATGACCACCGTCGTCTTGGGAGAGGGTAACATCGTCTTTGACTTTGGAGTTGCCCTTGAGGACGACTACGGCTTTCTTGGCGGCGGCGAGAGAAGGAAATGGATTGGGGGCGAATTTAAGGAGGGAGAGGGGTGGAATGAAGAGAAGAGAGATGGGTTGTTGTTGTTACGAGGGGTTGGGAAAGAGAATAGTAGGTGAAGAAGAGTATGGGATGGAGTAGTTGAAAGAAGTTACTAAACGTGGGAAGTTATTCAATATGGGAAGTTATATTTTGTGAGTTATTAATTTATGATTTTATCCTTAATTAGAAATTGCTATGAATTTAAAAATAGTATAATTATTGAAGAAGTTAAGGTTGTTTTAGGAAAATTAGTAAAAAACTATGAGAGCATGGCGTTATGACACCAAAGTAGTTGTTGGGAAATTCTATTTCCGTACACCAAATTACCTTAGTGCACACACTTAATGAATCTTTTTTATATTACATTTTTGTCCTACAAAAAAAACACCAAAATACCCTCATCTTTCCAATAGAAGCCTTAAGTTATCGCCGTCACTGCCTCTCTCCAGCCCCTTGCCTCCGGTCGCTGCCCCTTCACAGCTTCCCTTCCTTATTGCCGCCTCCATCAACCACCACATCCACCGCCAACAACAACCCAAACGTTGTTGTCCTAACCCCAATATCACCATACACACCATTGTTGCCGTCGCCGTCGCCGCCGTCGCAGTCAAATCGTCTCTTCTCCTCCTCCGACGACCTTTTCTATCCCTCTTTCCCATCTCCCGTTGCTCATCATCGTTGGGATCTTGCTATTTTTGGTTGCCATCGCAATCGCGACGCCTTCACACCGGCATCCCTCGCATCATCTTTCCCACTCTATTTCAATTTCTGCAACCACCGAAACTGGCATAGCCAGCCTCCTCTCTCATCTTTTTTCTTCTCTTCAAATCCTAGATCTGGGATTTTCAGATCTCCCTCTTTGTTAGTAATGGTGGTTAGGACTATTATTGATTATCGGGGGTGGAGATTGGGTTGCAATGGTAGAGGAAGACGGGTAGCCAAAGGTGGCGGTTGAGGATAATCAGAGGTGGTAGAGACTGGTGATAATGGTGGTGTAAAGAAGGAAGAAGATGAGGGCATTTTTGATAGAATAAGTTGTGTATTAAGTAAAAAATGAGATTTCAAATTCACTAAGGGTGTGTTTTGAGAAATGATGTACACAAAGAACATTTGATGTGTGAAAATAGAATTTCCTGTAATTGTTGGCTTTTAATAATAGTATAGATATAGATATATACTCCAGCGGTTGGCACACGCAATGCGTGTGCAATTTAAATAAATAAAAATAAAATAGAATATTTATTATATATATATTGTGTTTAATTCAAATGATAAAAGTCTTGTTTATTATACTATTTGCTTATAGTTCGAGCCTCATATCCATTATTTGTCTAATGTTTTTTTATTTATTTTTAATGACAAAATAGACACTTGCTATTAAAGTGGATGATACACTTGTTATTAAAGTGAATGATGGTTTCAGGACACCAATTAAGGTGTTCCCTTTATTAATAATATAGATATATATTTGTTCCTAGAATTTGAACTTTTAACGAAGAAGTCAAAAAATTACTATAATTTATTACATCACTCTCTCTATTTCTTTATATATCTTTTTATAAAAAGTTAAAAAATTAATAAAATAACTTATTCCCAACCCAAGCCTTCCCATTAATTAAGTGTAAATAATACAACAATGATTGTACATATTTCAAGTGTAAATAATACAAGCAGCATAATTTCTTTCTAACTCATGTATTGTTAATTTTGTATAATAAACATAAATAATGAGTGTAAAAAAATAAAAAATTAAAAAAAAATTAGAAGCTCCCCACAAAAGTGGAATCCATTCTCTGCAAATTCTGTTCCAAGTGTCAGAAGTCAAAACTACACCACAATTTACACACAAATGACATGACCCCATCTTCAGTAACTCATTTCTTCTTCTTCTTCTTCTTCTTCTTCTTCTTCTTCTCTCTCTCCTCTCTGCAAGTTCTAACTCACTCCTGGCAGTGGCTTTAATGACTACAAAATGGCACCTCCTCAATCCAAAACCTGTTAGTATTTTTACCTCACCACCTTTCTTTCTATGTCATTATATTAGATTTGAACTTTGGCTTGTTACAAAATTAGCTATCATATTTTATTTAATTTTTTTTTTCTCTATATAATTTACTATTGTTTGTGTTCTGTTCTTTTTATTACGCTATATTGGTTTGGATGGAAATGTTTTCTAATTTTTTTCTTCTTATTTTTTGAAATTTGGCATAATAAAAAATGAAAATCAACAAAAAAGACAAGTTTATTTGAAAATCAACAAAATTAGCTAATATCATAGTTTTCAAATTATTTGGCAAAATACTGCAGTTTCTAAATTGCATCTTAAGTCATTGTTTCAAATAAAATCGCAAGTTGAAGGTGCGCTTGTTTCAAATAAAAATACGGCAGTTCCTTCAACCCACGATTTCAATCTATGGTTTGCCATTGAATTTGTTGTTGAACCCTGATTTCAGCTTTGCAATACTCCAAACAAAAGTCAGATTAGCTTTCCCTTTGAACATTTTGACATCTTGGTCCTCATCTAATATATTTTATATACAAATAAATAAGTTGAAATTTTTATGTTTGAGAGTAAAACAAGGGGCTAAGAACAAACTACAAATTCTACATGAACAAAAAACTACAAATTCGATTATCAATACTCACTGGTTCTACTTGTTTGATCTACTACTTGAGACTGTTACATTTCTATTTGGGGCATTTTCTCTGATTATGATCTTGTTGCCCACATATTCCACAAGTCTGGTTACGTTAACGTACTTCAAATTAGTTAATTATTTATTGGCGATCATGATTTTGCAAATAATTTGCCTTTGATATTGGTTTAAAGTCAAAATTCACTTACTTTTCATTCTATGAAACTATTTTTTTTCCCCTCTTCTAATCGAGATCATGTGGCAAAACACTTATATTCAAGGTTTGTTTAGTTATGCCAGACCACTTGATGCATAAGAACCGGTTGCAAGAGTATACTCAGAAATCAGCCTTACAACTACCTGTTTATCAAACTATCAATGAAGGGTTTCCACACGCACCCAAGTTCAGATCAACCGTGTTGGTTAATGGGGAAAAGTACACGTCTGTGCATACGTTTTCTCAAAGAAAGGAAGTGGAACAGGAGGTGGCGAAATATGCGTTAGAGCGTGTAATGAAAAGGGAAGAAGTTGAAGTATTCCCTCTTATTCATCAGGAGGTTTGTCACAAAAAAGATAAGTTGGATTACAATCATGATGTATGCAAATTTTGGATGGTATAGGGTGTTTGGATGCATAATCACAAATTTATTGGCTCGTAATCTGATTTTATTTTTTTATTTTTTACAAGACAATACTTCAACTTCTCTAATCGCATTTAGCAATTTCAATCTGAGTTAATTACAACTTATTCATTTACCTTGATCAGTTTCAACAAAACAAGGACATTACTTGTACCCAATTTTAGACGTTAATCTTTTGTGTTATTTACTCCATGCTGATATGAACTCTGTTTTGTTAATTTTCAGTGATCTTTTTTCTCTGCTTTTTTGGGTGGATATGTTTATGGAGAGTCCTCTTTATTTTTTTTCCAGGAGATTTTGTTTTGCAAGTCAATACTGCATGAGTTTGCTGTCAAGATGAACCTGAATATACCCAAATATACAACTAGCCATGCACAAGGACTACAGCTAGTCTATGTCTCTTCATTGGTTTTTGATGGTAAAACTTTTACCGGTGAAGTCGCCGGAAGCAAGAAAGTGGCAGAGCAGTTGGTGGCACGTGCTTCCATTCAATCACTCCTCGGTATCTCAGAATAGACTTTTACTTGTTATCTCTGCACACATCTTACTAAGAGAATCTTTCTCTTATTATTCGGCCTGAAAGCCCTACTTGACTTTTATTCAACCCAAGCCCGTATACCAAGTTAGAATAGGCCTTGGACTGGGCTTGAGCCTAGGTGTTGAATCCCGGCCCGACCAAATGGCCTTGCTCTTTGGCCCATGCACGATGTGTGTCGGGCCCACGAGCTTGGTAAAAAATAGGAAAAAATAAGAAAAGGGAAAAAAAAATAATGAAAAGCTTAAAGTAGCCCCGTACCTTAACCTATTGGGCTTGCTTGCAGCCTGGCCTGACGCACTAGCCGTTCTAGGCCCGCCGGCTTAACCCCATGGGCAAGCTTGGGCACCAATTTTGCAAGCTGAGCGGGCCCAGCTTGATGCTGACCCTTCTCATACATGTGTTACAATTTGGAATGTATGTTATAGGATCCAATTCAGGGACTGTTCTCCGTCAAATTATCAAGGCTAAGGGAAAACATAATGCTTCGTTACAAATAGCAAACGATTCCACCTTCTTGCCTATAACCGTTAAGCAAGGTAACGGTCTGATCTGTACGAGTAAATGAATCTACATAGGTTGAATTATGTTTGTAACTGATAATTTTAGGAATGTTTTTATTTTCAGAAAACTCTTCACAACAATTAACTAACATTCTGGTAAGTCATCATCAACTTGAATGAAAGTATTTAGTTTGTGACCTTGAATAAAACCGAGTATCTAATTTTTTATCTTTGTTTTTTGATTCTATTGCTGCAGCATTCGGATGTTGGCTCCTTCTCTGAAGACACAATTATTGATTCTAGCTGCATTAGAAAGCGCAGACTCGAAATCAGTAATTGGGAACAGAAAAAAATGCGCTGTCTTGATCAGTAATTCGACACATGAATTAATGTATTGTTAAACATAATACATATGAGTTTATTACTCGTGTTTTTCTAGGAAATCGTTTTGAAAGTTTGGATATCGGGGTGAATTAATGGTCACCCAGTACTGGGAATAGTTTGCCTTACTGTAGGCAAATGAGACAATGTCTTTGTCTATCATCTATAATCTTCAGTGGCACTTTCCAAATTGACAACTTGCAGTTATTGTTTGTTAATCTCTGTTTGCTTTATACTTAACAGGAAAAAAAAAAAAAAAAAAAAACCACCCACAAACTTAAAAAGCTGCAATTTCAACGAATACAGCCAATTGTGTTGTTTATGCTTATATACAGCCAGATGATAGTGTGTGTTTTTTAATCAGTAAAAAGAATTTCGAGAAATTACAAAAACAATCTTAGGGTTCGAGTCTTGTAACAAAATAAAATTTTTAATTTTGTCAACTTAATTTTTAATATTTTGATTTATTTTTATTCTAAGGATTTGTTTATTTTTGTTAAGTAAAATTAATGAAAAAAAAATAATATTTTAGTTATTGTACTCAATGTAAGTGCATGAAAAAATATAATTTTTTATTGAGTTTAATGACTAAAATATTATTTTTTTCGTCAATTTTCCTTAACAATAATAGACAAATAGCTTAGATTGAAAACAAATCTAAATTGAGAAAATTAAAAATTTAGGATTTATTTTATTATAAGGCTCAAACTTTGGAGTTTTTATTTATTTATTTGTTTATTTTTATAATTTTTCCAAAGAATTTTTATAACTCAAAAATTGGAAACTAATCTAGTTTTCAGAAAATAGTTTTAGACACTACAACATTTTCTTAGTTTAGTGATATTTGAAAGTGCCACAAAACTATTCTTCTAATGACATTTTTTGATCTTGTGGCATTTTGAACAAGTGGCACTTCTATCGGTGCCACGGTAGATACTTGCAAGTGTCACTGCACCATCATGGCTAAAAACTTTCAATGACATTTTAATGTCATGGTAGATATTATTTGTGGCACTATCAAGCGCCATTAAAAAAAGAGTTAGTGACACTTATAAGTGTCATTACACCATCAAGACTAAAACTTGACTTTTGGAAATGTTCACTACAACATTTTCTTAGTTTAGTGACATTTGAAAGTGCCACAAAACTATTCTTCTAATGACATTTTTTGATCTTGTGGCATTTTAAACAAGTGCCACTTCTATCGGTGCCACGGTAGATATTTGCAAGTGTCACTGCACCATCATGGCTAAAAACTTTCAATGACATTTTAATGTCATGGTAGATATTATTTGTGGTACTATCAAGCGCCATTAAAAAAAGAGTTAGTGACACTTATAAGTGTCATTACACCATCAAGACTAAAACCTTTTAGTGACATTTTAATGTCATGGTAGGCACTATTCGTGACGCTATCAAGTGCCATTCATGATGATAATTCGTTGTAGAACGATTTGATCCGCTCTTGCAGAGACTCGAACCGCCAACCTCTCGCACCATAAACTTTATACACCACACTCTTTTCACTACACCTCTATAGCACCATATGATTATATATGCAACATATATTATTTATATAGTACATACATCTATATTAATATAAAAGTATATGTATAAACATAATTATTTTATTGAACATAATTTATGTAAAAAAACTATTTACTAGTAAAATAAAAAAAGACCATTTTTGGCGACTAAAAATATTTTTTGGTCGCCAATTCTATACTTTTGGCTACTAATTATTTTTTAGTTGCTAAAAAATTTAACTTTTGCTGACCAAAATCGGATTTAGTCACCGAAGATGCACTTTCAGCTACCAAAATTTTGGTCGCCAAAAAATTTAATTCCCGCCTTAGGATTTTAGTTCTCCCGCGCTAAAAATAATCACTTTTGGCGACTAAACTTATTTTTTAGTCGCCAATTATAAACTTTTGGCTACTAAAATTTTTTTAGTCACCAAAAAATTTTACTTTTGGCTACTAAAATTTTTTTAGTCGGTAAAACCTATATAATCAGTGACCAAACTTTTTTTTGGTCAAGAAATTTAGTCGCCGAATATGCTTTTTCCTGTAGTGCATATTGAGTTTAATTTATTTATTTTTAATCATTTACTGCATTGTAAAAATTTTAAAAATATATTGGCATTTTTCAAAAATGTGCCACTAAATATCATTTTTTGTGGCATTTTCTAAAAAAATGCCACTAGTGTAGTGCCACTAAAGTATGTTTTTGTTGTAGTGAGGAAACTCTACCTTTTTTTTTTCCTTTCGTATTTTAATGTTTTCAATGAATTTTTTTAATATTTTAAATTTTTTTTTAAAAATTTTTAGACACACCTAACATAAATACACTTAAAAAGTACAATATTTGTGAAAAAAATCTTTAAAAAATACACTACATACCAGAAAATACAAAAAATAATAAAATGAAAATTCAATGCATTTTCGTATTTTTTTGTATTTATTAATTTTTTAAAATACTTTTTCACAAATATTTTACTATTTTAGATACGTCTAAATAAAGTGCATCTAAAAAAATAAAAAATTACTTAAAATTTTAAATATATTTGCTAAAAACAAAAAAAACACGAAAAAATAAAAAATTCAGTTTTCAAAAAATCGAATTTAGAAAACTGAAACCAAACATGCTGATTAAGATTCAAGATAATTAGAATTAAACAAAAATCAAAACTACAACAAGACAATATAATAAGAAGGGCAAATTACACAAATAGTTCCTATAGTTCGGGACTCGTGTCACTTTGGTCTCTGACTTTTCAATTGTGACACATTTGATCCTGAATTTTGAATCTTGTTCTAAAAAAGGACAATTGAAGATACCATTATTTAATTTCAAAGGTAAAATCGTCAATTTAATAAAATATAAACTAATTTGACAAAAATAAAAGTCAAAAAATATTTTTAATTTTTTAAAAATTATTTTTATCCACCAATGATAACATTATGTAAAATTGATAAAAATTAATAAAAATTACGTGATTAATTTTTTATTATTAATTTTATATGATCATTATCCAAACACATAATAAAAATTAATTTGGTAAAAAAAATAAATAAATGTCTAAAAGATTTATCAATTTTACATAATTTTATTTTTAGTGCATAGAAATAATTTTTAAAAGTTTGACATTTATTTTTGTCAAATTAGTTTATATTTTATCAAATTGACAATTTTACTCTTGAAAAATCTAATGATATCTTCAATTATCCTTATTTGGAACAAGATTCAAAATTAAGGATTAAATGTGTCACAATTGAAAAGTCAGGGACCAAAGTGATGCAAGCCCCAAGCTATAGGGACTATTAGTGTTGACATAGGTGGGCCTATAGGAGCTTTTGACCCATTACTCAGAACCCAATACTTAATTCAAACACTAAAGCCCAACACCGCTGAAGCTCAACATGGCATTAAGGGCCAATGACATCTAAACACATGGCAAACGAAGAACCAACCACATCAGCAGACAAAAATTCTGCAAAGTTATTGCACCACACATCAGTCATTAACGAGTTTTCCTGTGGCATTTATTGCGATAACCCTTCACGTCGGAACGGAATAACCTCACCATGAACAAGGCAAGCTAGGACATAGACTTTCGGCCAACATGACGGCTCGGAGTGGATAAGGAAATGATGAGCAAAGGATATAAGTAGGCTTCTAAGACAAAGAAAATGTTAAGTTCTCTATCTCTATTTTTCCACTACATCTCCACCATCCATACCTCTCTAACTTGTTCGTCGGAGGGTTTACTTGGGGACTCCCCGTTACCCGTTGAACTCTTGTGCAGGTCCCCCCGAGGGTTTGGTATCTCGGGCATCAGTTTGGAAAGCGTGGATCAAGCCGACCCGATTCGTCTGGAATTTCTCGTAACATCAGTTGGCACCATCTGTGGGAAACCTTTCGCCCCGTGCGCCAGTTGTGCTCATTGCCGCCGGAGACCCCGATAACCCCTACCTGCCACCCACCAAGGTGGATTGTCACAACTAGATCCATGGCTTCTCACCACAATGTTGCTGACCACAAAGCCGACCCCACTAACCCAAACAACCCACCGCAGTACATGGAAGGACCTAACATCGTTAAGGCCAGGCCTCGATCGGGCACTTACCGACTTCAGGAAATGGAAGGTCGAGACCTCCCACACCCATGGAACGTCGAGCACTTGAAGCGTTATTTTCAGTAAAATGCCATGTTCCCTTTCTGTATTAATCAATTGCTGTATGTTCTTTTTTGACAATCTACACACGTGTTTGTTTTTGTACTTTTCACACATGGTGTAAATTTATGATCAATGGGTTATGCCTTAAATGACAACGATCTCATATCTCAGTTATCTGCGTGGTATTTCAACAACGCCTTGCTAAATTAAGTTACTTAAAGCCTCAGCCCGACTGAGCACGAAGGGCTCAGCCAGATTGAGTTACTCAAAGCCTCAACCCGACTAAGCATGAAGGGCTCAGCTAGACTGAGTTACTTATAGATTAGTGGTTATACTTAATTAAAAATTCAGGTCCATACTTTTACATCTCTTAACATTCTTTACACTTTTAACTTTTCATTTTTAATTCAGTTACAATCCACACGCCTAGTTGCCCAAACCAATCTCTCATTTCTCAACACTTTTACACCATGATTTAAAGTTTCACACTTAAAGGCTTTTACATTTCAACATTTTCATTGTTAACATTCTTTGCATCATGGTTTTCTCCCAAGTTAGACTGGTTTCCCACTTCTCACCTTTTACCACGATTTATGCACAAGTCTTATTCTCATGTCCATTCTCATTATTTTTGAATCTACAAGAAATAAAGACAACAGTACGAAAAGCACAACTCATTATTTTATTTGCAAACTTACACATTGTTCACTACAGAAATTACACACACAAAAAAAAACAATAAAAATTTTATTTACAAACCACAACACGCAAAACACAAAAATTTTACATCAATCACTCGTCCTCGCTAGAGGCCAGGTCCTCCTCCTCGATCCCCTCGTCCACGGGGGTCTGGGCAACGTCGTCTTCATCAATTTTCACTTGGCTAAAGTCCAAGTTTGGGAACAGCTCTTCCACTTTGCATTTGAAGGTCTTCCAACCGCTGTCCCAGAACTCAGCCATATCATGCTTGTAGAAGTCCGACCGCTGGAAGCTCTGGATCACTTTTTCTTCACGCCTACTTCCAA